AGGGATGATAAAGGAGGGTGTGGGGAAAGGGGGCCTGGGGGAGGGGCCGGGGTACCCCTTTCTGAGGGATTTTCTTCATGAGATGATTAATTGGCTTCTGTGAAAGGGGGACTTCCTGGGAGCATGAGGGGCTTTCACGGCAGGTGGGGAGGGGGTTGGGGTCAGGCGCTGCGGTCCCCTAGCCTGACATCGCTGCAGCTCCCCCGCCGGTTCCCGGGCTCTGGGTCTGCCCACTTGCGTGTCCCAGTTTTTCCTCTTTGAAGATGATTATTTTGAGCCCCACCTGGACGGAGCCAGGAACAGCCATTTCCTTCCCTGCAGCTGTGATGCCCACCCGTCCCCCTCCCCCCTGCTTAGGGAAGGAGGTTTAGGGGAAACGGGGACCAAGGCACCTGGGGACTGGGCGGTGGTGGGCGAAACGGAGGTGGGGTACTGGACACACAGGAGACCCCTCTGGGCCTGGGGGTGCACCAGACTCAGCAGGGAGATTGCTGGGCGTTAAGGTGGGCAGGTTCCTGGGGCAGGACAGCTGGAGAGCAGCAGGGTCAGGAAGAGCTCAGAGGTTCCCATACTCTCGGGAGGCAAAACGCTAGAGTTTTTGTTTGGTTTGTCTCATTTGGTTTTGCTTTCTTTCAATCCTTCATCCCCGATGCCAAGACTTTCCACTCGTCTCCTCTCCTATTGTTGCAAAAAGGGAAACTGAGGCAGAGAACAGACTGGCTGGAAATGTGTGTCTAGGTGGAAAGGAGGGCACACTGAATTTGGAGTCAAAGACCCCCCAGTGCAAAGCTCCCTGGGGGACCTTGGTCCAAAACACTTCCTCTTGTTGGGTCTCAGCTTTTCTCATCTATAAAGTGGGAGAGGGCCCACCTGCCTCCCAGGTTTGCCATGAGCCCAGATGTTTCCAAAGAGTTCTGTAAAAGGAAATGCACTGATACTCGTGAGCTGCAGTCCTCACTGCAAGGGCAGATGGGCTCCCTTCTGCCTCCCTCCCACGCACCAAGGGTATTGGCTAGCCCATGGGGGGACTTTGTAGGAATTAGGAAAGGCACATCTTCTGCAAGGAGAGTGTTCAGCTGGGCTAGGGACTTGGGGTGTTTATTATAAGAGTTTGGAAAAGGCACACTTTTCCCCAGGTGCGGCAGTCCCACACATTCAGGCAAGTATAATGTGGGCTAGATTCCAGTGCGCACCTACCCTCAGGTGAATGTCCTTGTTGTGTAGGGCCCACCTGCACAGCTGCACCCGGCAGCCCTCCTCAGCAGTCCCGCACCCCACACTCCCAGGACACTCCTGTAGACGCCCGCGTCCTAGACTGCCGCCAGCTCGTTTTCTGCCCTGCTTTGCCTCCACTTCAAGGCCTCTGGGTATACAATCCCCAAAGCCCATGCCTACTAGGGAGCTGATGGAATCCGGCCACGAAGGTGTGACTCCTTTGAGTGAAGCAGTGCCTTCACCGAGCTCCCAAATTGCTTTTCTCAAGGCCAAGAGCAGAAGTATCTATACACTTGGGTGGCACAGCCACTCAAACTGTGTTCACACCTGCTATCTCAGAGCATCCTCACGGTCAGCTTGTGAGGGAGGTCCCCTCCCCATTTACACAGAGGAAGCCATGCCCAGAGAAGTTAAGGAACTTGCCTAAGGTTTCACAGCTTGCAAGTGGTAGAGCCAGGACCCAAGCTGTTTGTCTAGCTGTTTGTCTAGCTGTTTGTCTTCTCCACTCCACATGGCAGAGGAACAAAGCTGCTGACCTCACAGTCTTGTCTAAGGCCTGCTGGCATTGTTGCTCGCCCTCTCTGTTCCCAGCAGCTCCTGGTTCTCCTTCCCCCAGGTGACCAGCCACCAAGCCCAGAGGAAGGAGTCAGTTTCTCTTACTCTAATGTCATTGGGGGGGGGGCCTGCCTCAAAGCCCAACTGTTCTGGCCTCTTTAGTGCAAGAAGGGGACCTGGGGAGTCCAGAGGTCATGTGGAAGCTGACCCTTGAGTGGGTCAGAGGCCAGGAAAGGGGTCAGGGAGTAGCTAGTTCCTTTCCTGCCCAGCTGGGGGCGGAAACAGTGGCCATCAGGGAATCAGTATCCCAAGCCAGTGCCTGAGTGAGAGGCAAGCCAAGGACCACAGAACAGACGCAGGAAAATGCAGCAACCCAGAGGCTGAAGGAAACTGAGAGACGCCCTGAGCAGGGCCCCTGGCTGCCAAGGGGAAGGGGATGGGGTAGGCCCAGCAGACGGCTCTAGGCCCCTACAAACAGAGCGTTTCTGCTTGTCTCTGTGTCACACGTGCGCGAGCTTTCACCTGAGGAAGGGGTTCCGGTGCTCACAACATCTGAAGCATCACTGCCCTAACCTGACGAGTCCCAGGGTGTGGTCCCTGGACAGCAGCATCTACATCACCCGGGAACTCGTTAGCAGTGAACATTCTCAGGCCTCACTCTAGACCTACGAAGTGGAAACCCCAGGTCACAGTGAGGGCTGCTGAAGCTAGCCGATCGCTCATCCAGTCCAGCGTCCAGGAAACGGCCCCAGTTATGGGGCAGGGGCAGGGGCAGGGGCAGGGCTGGGAAGAGAATCCGGCTGGTCCCGGAGCTCCGAGAATCTGGAGGCGGCCCCGCCCAACCCTCCTCTCCCTCCCCTCCTGCCCCCCTTTCCAGGCGCCATGCTGCCGCTCCTGCTGGGCCTGCTGGGCCCGGTGGCCTGCGCGGCCCTGGGCCCGGCCCCCGGCTCCACGGAGCTGCGCTCGGCCTTCTCGGCGGCGCGCACCACTCCCCTGGAGGGCACTTCGGAGATGGCGGTGACCTTCGACAAGGTGTACGTGAACATCGGGGGCGACTTCGACGCGGCCACGGGCCGGTTCCGCTGCCGCGTGCCCGGCGCCTACTTCTTCTCCTTCACGGCCGGCAAGGCGCCGCACAAGAGCCTGTCGGTGATGCTCGTGCGCAACCGCGACGAGGTGCAGGCGCTGGCCTTCGATGAGCAGC